TTGGATCGCTAAAGGCATCTATGTTTTACTTACTAAGGTCATATGGAAATAAGTACAAGCAGTTCGGGGTCTGGTAAATGGTAATAAGCTGTTCCACACACTGCTTATAGACTTCAGATCACTGACTAAACAATGTATAATTAGAGGCAAAAGTGACAGGGCAGTAATTACATGCATGGAATAGTAATGCTGCCCCAGCAGTTGGAGTCTAGCTGTCTTGCACTGCCTTCACAGTGTTTTTCTTCCCACAGCTCCAGGTTTACATCCCGTCCCGGGTGGGGTATTTCCTGTTCCACCAGCAGCTGTAGTTCTCATGAAGCTCCTGCCACCTCCTGTTTGTTTTCAGGTTTGTTTTAATGAATGCTGAAACCTTCAAAAAGTTATAGAAGAGATTCTGTTTTGACAGAAGCGCAGTGTGTATCGCTCTATTGAAAATAATCTTCTAAGCTTTTTTTTTTCCTTTTTTTAACATATCAGGGTCCCTTTGTTCAAGTGGATGAGCTCATGGAGATATTTAGAAGATGCAAACTGCCAGACAGTAAGTTATTTGTTCGCTCTGGAGTCTGTGATAGCGCTGCATATGACTTTGTTTTACATATGGATATCACTGTCTAAAACCCAGAGCTCATTTACAGATGTGTAATTATTGTTTAAGAGAGTACTGTTGAACTGGCTGTGTTTGTAGGTTGGAGCCTACACAGAGATGTTTGTACATTTAACTGTGGGGAGATCAAAAAGCTGCAAATCACCAGCTGCTACTTTAATAACATTTTGGTGGTAACCATTAAAAGAAAGAAATGGAGATTTCCAGAATATCCTCTAAGAGCAGCACGGCAATCTTCCAGCAGCACTGTAACTGTAACATGAAATGACAAATGTGCAGTGTGGTAGGTTCATTGGGAGGTGTAACCCAATGCACATTGTTGTAGTGCATAAGAACAATTCAAGAACAGTGTTTTCTGAGAAGGTAGAGTTCTATAAAAAGAGGACAGATCCATCCTTGAGGCTACAGCAGAGGATAATATGCTGCTTTTCACCCCCTCTGTTAGTTTAAGGAGCAAATTATTAGAGAGAAAGTTAGGATTTAATTTCCTGTAGAGTGAAAATAAAACATCTATTTAAATTACACGTAGTATTTTTTCAGCTTTCTGTGTTGGTAAGCAGAAAGTGACTGGCTGTGCATACTTTGGGATGAATCATGAACTGCCTCTGCTGTTTCCCCAATACGCTCTCCTGTTTTATTAAGCTTGCAAATGTCCTCAGTACTTGTGTAAAGGGAGGTCTCCAGCTGAAGCAGCAGCATTTACCTTATAATTAGTGTTTGCCAGAGCTCAGCGTTTTAGACAGTCGAGATTTCCTTCTTAACATTTGTAGAACAGGGTGGGAAAATGTCTCGCTTTCCAGAAATCCTCACACCGTATGTATTGTCTTGGTGCCCCTGTCTGCAGGCTTATTTTCTAACTGGGGAGTTTAGTTTGCCAAATTAAATGAATCTTTCTCTCTTTGTGCAGCTGTTGATGAAGCTGTACGAATAATTACCGGAGGCCTACCCGAAATAGCTGTGGAAGGCAACGGACCTGTGGAGAACAACGCCGTGCTCAATAAGGCTGTTAAGAGACCACACGAAGATTCTGATGATGATGAGGAGAAAGGCTCTGTCGTCCCCCCCGTACACGACATTTACAGAGCGCGGCAGCAGAAGAGAATCCGGTGAAACAAGTCTGGGGTTCTCCTGGGCCACACAAAGACTTGCATTGAGTCCGTCACTCTCTGACACGGCAAACATTTAAAAGGGACAGCTGCAAACAGAAAAAAATCTTGAAAATGGTTTTGTTACTGTGGTGCCTCTTCTCCCATATGGTTCTCGACGCGGAAACAGCCAGAACAACCTTAGAACGTGCTCTGAACAAAACTAACTCGGTTTGCAAAACCAACAGCGCAAAATGTCAAACCTGCATTTTGTTCTTCAAGGGTGTTCACATCTACCACTTGGAATCTTGTGGGGTTTCAACAGTTTTATTTTAAAAACTGGATGGCTTATACTTGTGAAGCATTTTTAATTCACGTTTTCTGGAAAACAGTTGTTCTCAGTTTGTTCATGTAGTGTCCTGCCTTATTGTTCATTTTTATTTATGGCAGAATGTACGGAATCTGTTTTGTAGTTGAAAATGGAAAAAAAAACATTCCTTTAAAATAAAAGGATATCCATAACATCATGCCTCATTCCGGTTTTATTCAAACACAACAAGTTACTTCTTAAATATTACTCAGCCACTTCAAAAGCGATGTTAATAAGACCATCACAGGAAATTGATCAGAGCATACATATTAGAATGAGCTTTTTCTCCATGTTTCTAGATACAGTAGACTTCTGCTTTGGATTCCAGGACTGTTGAAAGAAGACAGCATTGTGAAGAGAGACTGGGTAGGTATTTCTAATGGGGATTGTCCAGGAGTACGGGCTGACACAGGCTGGTCCTGGATCCCTGCATGGGGCTCCCGCTTCGTATACAAAGGGAGGTGTTATATATGAGCTACCTGGGCTCCCCTGTTACTTTCAAACAAGCTAACAAAAACAGTGTGAATTTTCCAAGAGGTTTCTATGCATCTGTTTTAGATTTTAACTTGTAGCCAACTGTCCAGAACTGCGCTCCGGTAGCACAGCAAGAACCCCCCCAGGACTACAGGAAATTCAGCTACTTGGACAATTTGGAAGCTGTTCCCACCCCCAGCAGCAGAGGTGACCACAGGGGAGCACCTGCTCCGCCAGAGGGAAGGGTGAGAGAGCAGCTGGGTAACCACAGGAGCCTTCGCACGGAGGTAAGCTCTGGCCTTATCAATCCTAAATTTCTCTTCTGCTTTGCCACTGAACCCTATCTTCCCATTTCTTTGAAAGAGGATGGAGAGAAACCATCCGTCAACCACTCTTGTTAAAGAAATAAAACCACCTGGGAAAATCCCAAATGTGATTTGTCCTCCTGGGCATTTATTAGTGTCTCTGCAGACCCCTGCTGTTGGAAGGCCTCCAGCACCCCCCGAGAGGCACCCGTTCCCTCTGTGCCCCCCCAGTGGTGGGACTGGAGCCAGATGGGACCATTGCACTTCTTTCTGTGAGAAGCCTCAGGATCAAACCCCTGCTGTGAGGAGCCATGGACGTGCTGTGCCCACCCTGCCAGACAGAGGCACAAGGGGCAGCCCCAAGATAGGATCAAACCCCTGCTGTGAGGAGCCATGGGACGTGCTGTGCCCACCCTGCCAGACACATGCACGAGGGGCAGCCCCAAGACGAGCAGGAATTGGCCATGGTGGACATCTGGCCCCCAAATTCCAGGCCTGGGAGCAGCCGTCGCCTACATGAGCAGGTACAATTTTATCTCTTGCCAGTGCAGTGCCATTCATTCCACCATCAGTCACCTACCTAGCAAAGCCTTTCCCAGGTGTGGTGTTTCACCACCACCTGGTTCCTCCTCACAGCCTTGAGCTCATCCCCTACAGCACCTCATTGCCTTTCTGCAGTATCCTTCATTCATAGGGCTCTGCAAAGGCAGCTTCTAGGCAATGCTAACAAAACAACAGCAGCAGCTTATAACTTCTGCAACTCATTTAACAGAAATGAAACCAGCTTTGTTTCGGTTATTAATTTTTTTAATATATCCAGCAATAATGCTTCTGGTAGCTCTTTTGTTATGCAGCCTACTGAATTAATTGTTTGGAGCTGCAGAGCTATGGGCTGTATTTTGAGGTGGATCCTGCACCAATAACCAATATTGCAGCTGCAGGAGGCTTGAAGCCCACTGAAGTATCCTTTGCCAAGTCAAACGGTGAGACAGACCGTCACCACAAACATACTCCAATTATTTTTTTTCTGGCAAACCAACCTACTCATGTTTGAGTTATCAAAGAAAGCAAAATTGAATCTATCTGAGTATATTCAGCCAAGAGAAAAATCACTTGTCTGAGCTGGTGATCTCTTACAGAGTTTTGGTGGGGTTTTTTTTCCCTTGGGGAAGGGGGTTTGTAATCAATGAGAGCCAATTTGTTTTACAGTTGCACGGGTTAATATGGAATAAAAGGTCTTCCTCATCCCACCTTCCTCCAAACTCAGTTAGTGCAGCTGTACCCACACTGACAGTTAAAGTAAAACTAGAAAGGGAGCATCAATGCTGATTCATAATCGAGTGCTTCCTTCTAGAAGTTCTATTATTTTGGTTGGCTCATTGATTGATAAAATGAACCTGGATGTTAGAAATAAAAGGGGCCTTTTACTTAGTTATTTATTTAATTTTTAAATTTAAAAATTATGTAAGAAGACAACATATTCTATCTTGGATAGTCTAGGACTTGGGATACATTGTTTGTAACTATGAACTTTGCTTTCATAAAATCATCAAATTTTGGTTACTGTAATACAGCATTATGCTCAACTACAGGAAAATTTCAGCTGTACTTATCTCCTAGCTGGGCCTCAAGCTGCAGTAAGGCTCTGAGATCACAGAACAGTTTGGGTTGGAAGGGACCTTAAAGATCATCTCGTTCCAACCCCCCTGCCCTGGGCAGGGACACCTCCCACTAGAGCAGGTTGCTCAAGGCCCCATCCAGCCTGGCCTTGAACACCTCCAGGGATGGGGCATCCTCAGCTTCCCTGGACAACCTGTTCCAGTGCCTCACCACCCTCACCACAAAGAAATTCTCCGCCAGTGTCTCACCACCCTCACCATAAAGAAATTCTTTCTGATACCTAACCTAAATCTCCCCTCTTTCAGTTTAAAACCATTCCCCCTCGTCCTGTCACTCCACTCCCTGATAAAGAGTCCCTCCCCAGCTCTCCTGTAGGCCCCTGTAGGTACTAGAAGGTCATCATAAGGTCTCCCCGGAGCCTTCTCTTCTCCAGGCTGAACCAACCCCAACTCTCTCAGTCTGTCTTCACAGGAGAGGTGCTCCAGCCCTCTGATCATCTTCATGGCCCTCCTCTAGACTCATTCCAAGAGGTCCATGTCCTTCCTGTGTTGGGGGCCCCAGATGTGGACCCAGTACTCCAGGTGGGATCTCAGCAGAGCAGAATAGAGGGGCAGAATCACCTCCCTGGCCCTGCTGGCCACCTGCTCTTGATGCAGCCCAGGATCTGATTGATCATTGAACTCTCCTGTGAACACTCATTTATACAACACATAGCTAATTAAATTCAAGACCTACAAATATTTCAAGTTACAAGAACATTTCTACAAAGCAAAAAACATCTTCTACTGAAAATATTCCCTGTGTATTTAAACTAACATTAAATCATTCACTTCTCCCAGTATATTAAAGTCACTCATACTTCCTGGAGATTTTTGAAGATGTGATTGAATATGCAACCATCTTCAGTTGTAGGTTTACAAAACAAGTAAAATCTTCAGCCTAAAGTTTCACACGCTTTAAATCCACCTTCTGCAAATGACAGAGGATTTACTTGAAAATTAGTATTTCACGTAAAAAGGAGGAAACGACTAGCAAAAAAAGGTAAGAAATGCAACTTTTTATCAAAACATTTTAGCTCTGCCCTTCTGAAGTCTTTACAAGAGATAAATACAGCTGCAATCTATAAGATTGCCACCTTTGGAAGTACTGTACATAGCAGAGGACAGTTACCCAATAACCAGAAAATTTGCTACAAAAATATATTATGTGTTTTGTAACATCTGCAGGTAAACAGCAAAAAAATGCTATTAAAAACGCAGTAAAATGCAGAAAAACCTAGTAGGCTGCCACGCCAACCATAATGTTACAATAAAGTGCTGTTTGGCTTTGATTTTTTGCCTGTTAAAGTTTCTCTTATCTAGAATTTTAGCTCACTTCTGAAGTCTTTAAGGTAAGATTTTTTTAAAGCCAAATCACCCCTTCTGGGAAGAACTGTTGCTAACCTGCTCTGGACTAATTAAACTAAATTCACGGTAAATTAGAGTAAAATGCCCTAAAATGAGCCACTTAAATACAAAGTTTAGTTTTTAACCTTGTCCTCTCTACCATCAGCTGAAAAATATCTATAAATTGCAGCCAGAAAACTACCGTGACACCCCCCCGGGTTGCACACTTACACTGGAAACGCATCTCTCTCTCCCCATTTACCTCGGAACCCCTTCTGCATCTCCTCTATTTTTCTCCTCACTCACCACCAGTGCATTAAAAGGAACTGGTATTTACAGGGAAAGCTGTTTTCCTACACAAAGATTGGTGCGATTTTTCAAAGTAGCCCCCAAAGTTAATACCGTGTCGGCAGCACACAAAGGGGTTTTACGGTTCTTCTGCCTTCCCTGCAAGTTGGGATTCTTCCTCAGCCAGTATTTTGCCAAGAACTGTGTCGTAGTAAGGGCTGAAGACCATTTTGTTGTAGTTGACAAGACGAACATACTTGACAGCAATTTCTTCCAGCTCCCTTTGAATGGGGCCTAATCCTCCGGGAACGGCAGGAGATGACTTCTGGTGAGGAGACGCCAGACAGTTCTCCAGAAACTTCTGAATTCGAGAATCTGGAAAAATTGGACCAAGGGGTTTGGTTTGTTTTCAAAAGAGACAGGCAATTACAAACGGTGTAATCTCGTGTAAAATGCAGAAAGCCTGAACACAGTAAAGAAGCATTTGAAACTGATTAAATGAGAACCCGTGCGTTACAAAGACAGAGGAGCAGTCACTGGAGAGCAGAGCGGTTCTGCCCAAACGTACCTATGAGCTTGCAAATGGTGTTATCTGGGTTGGCCACTGCTTGGATCTGTCCTTTAAGTACAGTCTCTCTCTCGGCTGAGAAGGGTGTAAAGCCGTGCTGGGACAGGCAGCTGTTGGCTTCAGCACACACCTTTTCACCGATGGTGGCCAGAGATTCCTTCAGGTTAAAGGAGCTAGAGAACATGGAGAAGAGCGTTACATAGCTATTCCAGCTATTCACTTTTTCCCCCCCCTTTTTAAAAATAAACTATCCAATTAGATTGGTTTGTTTTCAAAAGAGACAGGCAATTACAAACGGTGTAATCTCGTGTAAAATACAGAAAGCCTGAACACAGTAAAGAAGCATTTGAAACTGATTAAATGAGAACCCGTGCGTTACAAAGACAGAGGAGCAGTCACTGGAGAGCAGAGCGGTTCTGCCCAAACGTACCTATGAGCTTGCAAATGGTGTTATCTGGGTTGGCCACTGCTTGGATCTGTCCTTTAAGTACAGTCTCTCTCTCGGCTGAGAAGGGTGTAAAGCCGTGCTGGGACAGGCAGCTGTTGGCTTCAGCACACACCTTTTCACCGATGGTGGCCAGAGATTCCTTCAGGTTAAAGGAGCTAGAGAACATGGAGAAGAGCGTTACATAGCTATTCCAGCTATTCACTTTTTCCCCCCCCTTTTTAAAAATAAACTATCCAATTAGAGTTGCCTTATTTCATAGAATCATAGAATCATCTAGGTTGGAAGAGACCCTTGAGATCATCGAGTCCAACCATCTCCCCTACTCTACAAAGTCCTCCCCTACACCATGTCCCTCAGCACTGCATCTAAATGGCCCTTAAACACAGCCAGGGATGGTGACTCCACCACCTCCCTGGGCAGCCTGTTCCAATGCCCTATCACTCTTTCGGTGAAAATTCCTTCCTAATGTTCAATCTAAACCTGCCCTGTTGGAGCTTGAAGCCATTCCCTCTCGTTCTGTCACTAATTACTTGTGAGAAGAGACCAGCACCAACCTCTCTCTACAGTGTCCTTTCAAGTAGTTGTAGAGAGTGATGAGGTCTCCCCTCAGCCTCCTCTTCCTCATACTAAATATATAAATAAATCTCTAATAGAAGAAGTGCAATACAGATAAAGGCCAGAACTGTAAAGAATAATACATTTTATGAAAAATAAAGTTGAGATAGATAGATATAAAACGAGGAGGTGGGACAGCATGAAAGGTTTCCAGCCTGAACAATCCATGCAAATAAGAGCTGTGTGAGGAAGCTGAATGAAAAGCCCTCATCGCTTCCTCTACTTGTTCCAGGTCCACAGCCAGAAAGAGGCTTAACCAGATCATTTTCCAGGGTGGAAATGGACCCGCCCCTCCTCGGTGGGCCCCTCAGCCTCCTCTTCCTCATACTAAATATATAAATAAATCTCTAATAGAAGAAGTGCAATACAGATAAAGGCCAGAACTGTAAAGAATAATACATTTTATGAAAAATAAAGTTGAGATAGATAGATATAAAACGAGGAGGTGGGACAACATGAAAGGTTTCCAGCCTGAACAATCCATGCAAATAAGAGCTGTGTGAGGAAGCTGAATGAAAAGCCCTCATCGCTTCCTCTACTTGTTCCAGGTCCACAGCCAGAAAGAGGCTTAACCAGATCATTTTCCAGGGTGGAAATGGACCCGCCCCTCCTCGGTGGGACTGGGATCAGTCCATACTCACGGCAGATGCATTCCTGTCAGCAGCACCTTGACGATGGTTTTGATCTTCTCAGCAAATCCAGGCACGTCACCGAGCGCGGAGCCCGCGGCGCTGAAGGTGACCAGGAGGACTGTCCCAGTCACCAGGAGCTGCTCCAGCTCCAGCTGTATTTCCTGGAAGCGGGACTGGTCCATCAGCACCGTCTGCAAAGAGCGAGGAGGCCAGCACAGAATAGAGGAAGTTTCAATACTGAACAAGAGGTACCTAATAGAAGAGCTACAAGAGCTCTCAATCAAGAGATGAATGTTTTAGTGTCGTACTTGTTGCAAGGCTACAAATCCAAACAGCTTCTGTTATATCCCAGAAATAGAAAAGTAGGACAAGCACAGAAATCAATTTTTCTGTTAAATACCTACTTCTGGAAAAGGCCTGTTTACATGATCCCACTTCAGGAGCTTCAGGTAGGCCTGATTTTGTACAGCGGTGGAGCACAAGGCGGTAGCTCCACCAGTGGCACCATCACTACTACAGGGGGGAGGCAGCCTTTTACATCTCAGCTTCACAAGATCATCTGCTGCTTCTTGCAACCACTGTGTGACAAGGTCTAAAGAATCTGGAAGAGCAGGGGGAAAAAAAAAAATCTTGTTAAGAAAATTCCTTTCCAAAGTTAGGTTCTTCCACCAATAATTTCCAAATAATCCCATTAGTTACTATTACTAATACCCATGATATCAGTTCTTGACATGCATTTCATTTATTGCATCAAGCAGAACATCTAAAACGAAATTAGACCCACACAGCAATAGGAAATTGGAGGTGAGCTGATGCTGGCTAATTATGCCCTACACTGTATTCAAACAAAACTAAACTCCAGTGTACAAAGCTCAGAACTGTCGTTCTGGCAGATTTTTTTCAAACCCCAGTTTTGGGGTGGCTAATTATGCCCTACACTGTATTCAAACGAAACTAAACTCCAGTGTACAAAGCACAGAACTTTTGTTCCAGCAGATTTTTTCAAACCCCAGTTTTGGGACACAAGCTGTCATTTACCATATGAATTCTAGAACTTAGAAGAAAATCTGGTTTCTTTTCACAATCTACAAGCAAAGACACACAGTTTACTGGGAGGGCAGAGGGGAAGAAAGAAAGGAACAAAGTCATACTTGGCTGTTTCTCAAGAAACTCCTGAAACTTCTTTCTTTCATATTCAGCAGACTGCTGCATTAATTTTGGCCTAATACTACTGACAGCGAAGTTTGCCATATCCATTTTCATTAGGTCTAATACAGAGAAAATGGCTCTAAACAAACAAACAGAAAAAGTTATTCGAGGCTGCAGCTGTGTAAGAGGTACTATATACAAGATTTATTACACATTGTCTAAGGAAAGAGCAAAAACATGCATGGGAAACATGAACAGGGGGCTTAACAATTTAAGAGCACGCGACAGAGAGAAAGCTTGAGCAAGCACGTACACACATGCATGTGCCTCTCCCAACTAGGAAATTAAACTTGCTCTCCTGTATAAAAGCCTCCATGGAATTAACTTTACTAGCTCCACAGATTATATATGTCCCAGGATGTGCAATAGGGGATGTTGAATACATCAAAAGACATCTGGATTTCCAAGCTTGCACAGTGTCTCTGCTGGCAGACTAAAACCAACCTCAGTGGGAAGTGAATAATCAAACCCAAGGGGAGAAAAAGGAAAAAAAAAAAACCAAACCAAACCCAACAAATAAAACCACCTTAATTTCAAAGCAACCTAATTCCTGCTGGCAATATTTCTGCCAAGTCAATCCTGAACTCTTGGAAGCTTATCAAATTAGAAAACAACAGAGTTAATGAAATTTCTTCTAACTATTGAGACCTTGAGCTGTTCAACTGATAAGGTGGTGACAAAGCAAAGCCTCTGTGCCCCCAGATGTGGTAGTACACTCCCTTTAGAACAGAAAGGAGATGATACAGGGAGTGGGGCGGGGGGTAGGAGAGCTCAAATTGGGCAGAAAGGAAGAACTGGTTGGAGGACAGTAACACTTTTTTCCTATGCTCCTGCTTACTTTTTCTCCCTTTCTGCTGTCGATATTAAATTCGGATACAAACTGACCATTCACCTGCTCTCTTAAGCCTTACATGCATTTGGCATTTAAGAAAATGTCCTTCAGTGACATGCAGGGGACAGGCAAATACTCCAATTCACCAGAACAAAGAGGGCCTTTGTTAAAGGCTTCTGGAGAATCTCTCCCCTTCACACCCACAGCTATATCCCTTTCCCTATCACTTTTTTTTTGCTACAAAGATTTGCAGGTTGCCCTGATGAAGAACCAGCCCCCCCCCCCATCTGAAATTATATAAAGGACTCTCAACATAACTAATAAATATCATTCCAGTACCTGAACAGAGGAACTATTTCATTAATATCTTTCAGTTTCTTAATTTCTTCGTCTCGAGCTGGAGCACAGAGAGTCCCCATCATCCCAATAACGAACTCGACCAACTTAGAAATGTCAAGGGCCCCATTCTCTGCCTCCTGTTTTATCAAATCCAGATCAAGAACTTCTGTAATCTGGCTTCTCAGTCTAGTATGACCAGGCAACAAGAACGACAGGAGATTCTGAAATGGAAAGTTTTTAACAGTTCATTAGTTCTACACATTAAAGACTACAAGGATGAAAACAGTTATGGAACCACTTTTTATTTAAAGTAATTGCCCTTTACAAATGGAATTTCTTTTTTTTTTTTAACCAACTATTCACTAACTCCAAGTGTTTCACCTCGTTCTGAACGATCCTGAAGTTACTAAGGGTAAATACTGTGTAGTACAGATCATACTTAAGACTACTGTACTTGGATTTGTCAGCCCAGCATTAGGGCATCTCATTAATTCCATAATAAATACCACTGTCAAAACATGACGGAAGCTTGGAATTATGAAACTAGTACTACTTACCTTTTATTCATCTTATATGGTGTTGCATTTGTTTTTACATTCGAATTTCTCCTCTGGGGCTATACAACTTACATCCCAGCCAATGATATAGTAATGAAAAAGATCAAGAGAGTCCTTTATGAAAAGCCAAACTTCAGTCACTTTTGCCCATTCATATCAATGCGGCTACACAAATTCAGTAAGTTACCTTGATAGCACATCATCTTACCTCTTTAATTTCTCCCAATAGTTTAATTGCATGGTCATATATCGGTGGATCTTCCTTTAGCTGAGCTTCCAGACAGTCCCAGAAAGCTTTATGCACAATATCTCTTACTTTTTTTTCTAAGCTGTGGATAAATATGACCAGTTAAAAAGAACAATACTTGCCTCTGCACCACATTACATAGATAACCTGCAGCTCCTGAAGAACAGCATGGAATAATGTGAATATAATGTAATAATGAATATATGACAATTAACAGAGAAGAGATCTGTCATTTTAAGTTACTCAGAAAAGCAAGAAAAACTGGACAGGGGATTTGGAACGGCTTCTATCCTAATAAAGGGTTACACACAAGCAAAGGCGGCTACAAATTAAAATCCTTGAAAGTACCTATCATAGGCTACCTCTAAAGGAAAGTCAACAACTGGAAGAAGAAAGAAAGGTATCACCAAAATTACAGCTTGTCTTCAAAAGACCAGTATTCATGTTCCTTTCAAAAGCCTCACTAAGGAAATGCAATTCTACTAAGTAAAAGTCATTAGGTAAACCTAACAGACGTGAAGTGACTTCCCTGGCACACAAGCTCCTGCATTGCAATGCATAAATATTGCAACAGCTCCGAGAGAAAGGCCCCGTTCCCTTGCTGTAAAAGAATAAATTCATTCCAGTGCTTCAGAAAAAAAAAAACCAAACCAAACCCAACAAATAAAACCACCTTAATTTCAAAGCAACCTAATTCCTGCTGGCAATATTTCTGCCAAGTCAATCCTGAACTCTTGGAAGCTTATCAAATTAGAAAACAACAGAGTTAATGAAATTTCTTCTAACTATTGAGACCTTGAGCTGTTCAACTGATAAGGTGGTGACAAAGCAAAGCCTCTGTGCCCCCAGATGTGGTAGTACACTCCCTTTAGAACAGAAAGGAGATGATACAGGGAGTGGGGCGGGGGGTAGGAGAGCTCAAATTGGGCAGAAAGGAAGAACTGGTTGGAGGACAGTAACACTTTTTTCCTATGCTCCTGCTTACTTTTTCTCCCTTTCTGCTGTCGATATTAAATTCGGATACAAACTGACCATTCACCTGCTCTCTTAAGCCTTACATGCATTTGGCATTTAAGAAAATGTCCTTCAGTGACATGCAGGGGACAGGCAAATACTCCAATTCACCAGAACAAAGAGGGCCTTTGTTAAAGGCTTCTGGAGAATCTCTCCCCTTCACACCCACAGCTCTATCCCTTTCCCTATCATTCTTTTTTTTTTTGCTACAAAGATTTGCAGGTTGCCCTGATGAAGAACCAGCCCCCCCCCCCATCTGAAATTATATAAAGGACTCTCAACATAACTAATAAATATCATTCCAGTACCTGAACAGAGGAACTATTTCATTAATATCTTTCAGTTTCTTAATTTCTTCGTCTCGAGCTGGAGCACAGAGAGTCCCCATCATCCCAATAACGAACTCGACCAACTTAGAAATGTCAAGGGCCCCATTCTCTGCCTCCTGTTTTATCAAATCCAGATCAAGAACTTCTGTAATCTGGCTTCTCAGTCTAGTATGACCAGGCAACAAGAACGACAGGAGATTCTGAAATGGAAAGTTTTTAACAGTTCATTAGTTCTACACATTAAAGACTACAAGGATGAAAACAGTTATGGAACCACTTTTTATTTAAAGTAATTGCCCTTTTTTTTTTTTTTTAACCAACTATTCACTAACTCCAAGTGTTTCACCTCGTTCTGAACGATCCTGAAGTTACTAAGGGTAAATACTGTGTAGTACAGATCATACTTAAGACTACTGTACTTGGATTTGTCAGCCCAGCATTAGGGCATCTCATTAATTCCATAATAAATACCACTGTCAAAACATGACGGAAGCTTGGAATTATGAAACTAGTACTACTTACCTTTTATTCATCTTATATGGTGTTGCATTTGTTTTTATATTCGAATTTCTCCTCTGGGGCTATACAACTTACATCCCAGCCAATGATATAGTAATGAAAAAGATCAAGAGAGTCCTTTATGAAAAGCCAAACTTCAATCACTTTTGCCCATTCATATCAATGCGGCTACACAAATTCAGTAAGTTACCTTGATAGCACATCATCTTACCTCTTTAATTTCTCCCAATAGTTTAATTGCATGGTCATATATCGGTGGATCTTCCTTTAGCTGAGCTTCCAGACAGTCCCAGAAAGCTTTATGCACAATATCTCTTACTTTTTTTTCTAAGCTGTGGATAAATATGACCAGTTAAAAAGAACAATACTTGCCTCTGCACCACATTACATAGATAACCTGCAGCTCCTGAAGAACAGCATGGAATAATGTGAATATAATGTAATAATGAATATATGACAATTAACAGAGAAGAGATCTGTCATTTTAAGTTACTCAGAAAAGCAAGAAAAACTGGACAGGGGATTTGGAACGGCTTCTATCCTAATAAAGGGTTACACACAAGCAAAGGCGGCTACAAATTAAAATCCTTGAAAGTACCTATCATAGGCTACCTCTAAAGGAAAGTCAACAACTGGAAGAAGAAAGAAAGGTATCACCAAAATTACAGCTTGTCTTCAAAAGACCAGTATTCATGTTCCTTTCAAAAGCCTCACTAAGGAAATGCAATTCTACTAAGTAAAAGTCATTAGGTAAACCTAACAGACGTGAAGTGACTTCCCTGGCACACAAGCTCCTGCATTGCAATGCATAAATATTGCAACAGCTCCGAGAGAAAGGCCCCGTTCCCTTGCTGTAAAAGAATAAATTCATTCCAGTGCTTCAGTAGCACTGCCTAGTGCAAAGCACTGAAAGTTACTGCTCTGCAGCAGGCAGGCTCCCCTTCACATCAGGTTTAACTGCAACCCCAAGGAGGTAAAATGCTCACAGGTAGAGTCCCAGAGCTCTGGCTCCACGTGGAGCTGAGGATGAGGGAGGTCCCAGAGGCGCTTACGCCCCGTGGCCCTCTGAGAAGAGCTGGTACGTGCACTACTGACAGTGAGCACACCTGCATACACAGCCACAACTGCCTCCTCCTCCAGCCACCTCTCTACACGTACACTCAGCCTGTGGGGGACTCTAACTACACACACACACACACACACACATAAAACATTTCATCCATGGAAGACTCCAGAGTCTCTCTTCAAGCAAAATCTGAAGGGCTGCCCTTTCTTTTCTAGGTGGCAACTAGGTGTATACAAAACCCTCACCGATGCCAAATAGAGGGATCTTGTACTCATCTCAAACCTCCTGAGCAAGGTGACACCTCTGCAAGACATCTGTGTGTGTGATCAGGGGAAGAGATGCAAATCACCCGCTCTGGTGAACAACTACAGCCACTGCTCTGCATCCATAAGCAAAAGCATCCAACTTTCCACAGTACAGCATAGGTCCCCAGCTCTCTCCCTCCTGGTTTGTTTTTTTTAAAGAGTGTGGGTAAAGAAGAAAAGATGGAAAAAAAGAAAACATGCTAAAATCCTTCTTCCCTGAAAAATGCTGAGACCCATTTTGCTCCACTGAAGCATACCAGAAAACTTACCCACTATAAAAGCACGTTTTCACATGAGAAGTCCATGTGAAGGGACATGGAGCAGAAGTAGAAGCTGAACAGAACAGCTCCCTCTTAACTGTGGGACTTTAGGTGAAACATTTATTCTCAGCCGTCAACTACTGAGCAGAAAACACCTGATGGAAGTTCCCTCAAAAGATACTGGGCCAGAGAAGAGAACATCAAATGAGAAGAATGAGCTTGGCATGTTTCAGGTGTACTCTCCAAACGCTTGCTTCTAGAGGCAGCACTTCTGCAGGCTAGAGACAGGTTCCACTTCATGGGACCACACATGAATTACACACCACCTGCACATAAGGCAGCAAAGGAAGGACTGGGCCACCCTGCCAGGATCTGTCTAACAGACAAGGCAGACACTGAAAGACAGCGCTGAGAAAACAGATCAAATCATTGCTTCAGCTCTAAAGCGTATGATTCTTGCTGGACAACAGAGATGTCTGTTGTCAGGTGCTAGCTCAGTTAAGTGTTTGTTCTCAGCATTTAAGGGGGCCATGATTCCATTTCCTACCAACCATTAGGCTTAGCAAAAGCTGAAATGATCCGTTCCATCTGACTCCCACAGGCAGTGAAAGCTTGTAAGATGCTCCAAGCAGTACCTGCATCTGCAGCTAGACTTGGCTATTCAGAAGATTGCAGTCTCGGGCTCCTGGGACAAGGGGACACCGTCAGAAAGCACACCACACTGGGGCTGGAGTCACACCACACATGCCCAAACAATCACTCCAAGAGGTTCAAATTCCACACACACACATTTCTGAGGAAGCAGAACTGCACACTTACGTTCTTCTCCTTACGCTCTTCCCTATCTCATCAGGCACTGCCACACAAGATGCCAGCCAGAGCCTTCACCTGATCCATTAGAGCTGTTCTGCAGTTCTACAAATGCAAATTTAACGTATGTCTCTGTTTGGTAACAATCTTACCTGTGCTCTGGTAATTCAGCTGGTTTTATCTGGAAGTCTCCATTAACGATAATTTCGTGTGCTAAGGCCATGTTGGTTACTCCCTTGGCTGTCTCCATGAGCTCTTCTATTGACACAGGCCGAGGAGGACTCGCTGCAACATAAATTAAACTGTCAGACAGTTATCTATAAAAGTCTGCGGAAAAAATGTCTGCTAATATTTTTGGACCCTTTCCACCTCCTTGACAGTACAAAGGGCCAAAAGACAATATCATTTTCCTCCTCCCTGCTGGCAGATGACAGAGGTTTGGAGTTTTACAGGAAACAAAGGAGTGAACCCAAATTGATATTCTGGGCTCAGTACGTCAATTGCTCCCAAGTTCCATCAAGCTCTTTTAAAAAATGAAAAAAACCCTCACACCCAAATCCCGACTTCCTCAGAATTGCTTAATATCACCTTTCTCCACACTGTAGGAAGAAGTAACTAAAAATACTAGTATTTTCACTGCAGCTTTTCCCCAATTATTATGCAGATGTTGCCATTTCAATTTTATATTTTTCAAGGAAGTGACTTCATCTCTAAAGCAGCCCTCAAACCCACCACCATTAACATCAAGCAATAACATACTAGCAGCTATTTATTCTCACTACTTCAGTGCAACTGGCACTTCTCCAACCTCTTTTTCCCCAGAGGCCATAGTCCAAGTGACAAGGAACATCAAGACCTAGTCCCAGCACCAATGCCTAAATCTTCTTTCTCTGGTGGGCATTTGGGACCGACAAGGATGAACAAGCAGCTTCAAATTGGGCCCTGAGGCATACAACCGAGTATGAGGAAGCACCAAGCCTGAAAAAAGAGGCCAGTTTTCATGAGGCAGGAGAACAAAGGCAGTGACTGACTGTAGAAATCTAGAAGGTAGAAGAGGGATGGTTTAAGCTTCCTGGATGCAGTGGGAATTAATTGTTCTGGACTACATAACACCCTCCTGGGACACTACTGGCACTGGTGTAGCCCAGGAAGTGTCCCAGCCCTAAAAACAAGTCAACATAAAGGCAGAGAAGGCACCAAGGGCACAAACCATGCTGGTTAAGGGGTTAATCCCACCCCCACTGAAGCCAACTGAAACCTGTTGCCACTGATCCTTTGTGGTGAAGATTCCTCCCAGCTGTGTGAGCAGCACATGTGGGTGCCCTGCAATGCCTCACAAGAAGCTAGAAGCACCACAGCTCTTCTCCGGTCTGGGTATTTGAGACAGAAAGGAGAAGGTTAGATCATTGGTGTCTTGGGTGAGGCAGGCAAAAATGGCAAGGTTCATATCAGCTCCTCCAGAAAACATCCAGTGGAGCAGAAGTGGGGAAAAGAGCCACAAGAGAATTGCCTTTATGGACCGAGTCCTCTCTGCAGTTCATTCACCTCAACCACGCTCCGGACACAGGAGCAACAGAACTAATTCTCAAAATGAAAGAAACCAAGGAGGGCTCATCATAGGCTGGGTTCACTGAGATATGTTTTAGCCAAATTATCATGTCTGCCTCATTTGATAATCCAGTTTGACTGAACTTAAGCTAGTAACATAGCAAAGGTCCTTTGAAAGTAACTGTCCGTCACTGTTCTGCCATTCAAAGCTGTTCCAAGTACACACAGTATGGTCCCAATCTGCTAATTTTTCGTTAATATCTTGCTCTTTAAGCCTATTTCCTTCTGCCTGGAGCTTAATCTTGCACAGTGGCTCCGGGAACACAGCAAGGATTGATATTCTGAGAAGAACTAGCAGGACAACAAAGTTCACAGCTGAATGAGAGTGCTCTTGTCTGACTGCCAAATGACTTCACTTAGCAGCGGGTGCACTAAAAGCCAAGACTCTTTCCCTTACCAAAGAATGCTCTTAAATCATATTACTTCATTCTCATATTATATCTGCTCCCTTACAAGAGGGGAGGGCTCCAGACCAACGACTTCTTTGTGGTACAATGCAGTGCAAGACTGCACTAGGCATTTTACTTTCACTGTTCATAGCCTCTCTCCATACATACATCACATCTCCTATCAGGGAACCAGCAAGACACAAGAACAGAAACTCCTTCAGAACATCTCCTCCGTGTAACACGACGCTAAACCTCAAGCAACCATGAACACCATTAAAAAAATAAAAAGAATGCAACAAATAAAATGTTACATGCTGAGGCATTCCCTACAGAAATTTGGAACCCGTTATTTGAGCAGCTCTGCCTCTTTGAATTGAATCCCTGTGACCAGACGACTTCCCCTTGGTTTTATCTTTAGATTTGCCAGAAATAACCAGCAGCCATATTGCATCCAGCTACTCGCAGTAAAAGCAGAATGAAAAAGAAAAATATGCCCTAGGAAGAAACTTATGCAGTCCTGCTTGGCACCAGAAGTAGTATTAGGACTAAATATACAACTTTCCATCTGTATTGCGAGGGGGGTGACAAGACATTACTTTGTGGATAACAGCCTCCCTTGCCCCACCGAGGAGGCAGAGGCTGCAACAATCCAGAGGGTTCAGCTGATAATGCAAGAGTTCAGCTAGAATATACTGGAGTAGGGCCTGTCCTCTCCCCCGGTGCAGACACACAGAGGTATCTAAGATGTACGTGGCTCAGAGCAACATGGGGATGGTGAGCAATTAAGTACTAGAGCAAAATGGAGAGAAAGGTGTTACACACATTTTCAAAGCAAAGGACCAATATTTAACTGCGAAACAGCAAAACTTGCACAGAATGCTATAAAATGCCACGGTTGTCTCCACCAAGTTCAGCTAGAATATACTGGAGTAGGGCCTGTCCTCTCCCCCGGTGCAGACACACAGAGGTATCTAAGATGTACGTGGCTCAGAGCAACATGGGGATGGTGAGCAATTAAGTACTAGAGCAAAATGGAGAGAAAGGTGTTACACACAGTTTCGAAGCAAAGGACCAATATTTAATTGCAAAACAGTAAAACTTGCACAGAATGCTATAAAATGCCACGGTTGTCTCCACCAAAAAATTACAGAATTCTCTTTTTTTTTTTTAATAAAGCAGTTTTGCTTACACTTTGGCGTATCATCTCTGTGGGACCCTGGCGCGCTCTGTCGTATTCTTTTTCTGACAGATTGATCTGGGATGTCCAAGCTCTCCTCTTGACCATCCTCCAAACCACTCAACTTTTCTTCACTTGAGTGTGGCTTGTCAGGATTCCGAGACATTTTCAATTGGTTCTTTTCAGAAAAAGAAAAAGAAGATGAAAAAGGGAATGAATAAGCATTTTCCGACACGGCTGAATGAGAAAACATCACCAGGAGTTCTCCTGATTGAGAAAAAAATAAGAATAAAAGGAATCTTATGAGGAATTATATGATGTCATTCCCATAATGGTAGGGGACCTGGACTCAATGACTCACTTCCCATCTGACACAGAACAGGATGCTTTCAACACAGCTACCATTTACTTCATCTGCATTCCTAGTAAGTTTTCAAAAATCTGAAACTGTTCCCTCACCATAATGCATACAGATGAGAAAGAAAAATATGTTTCTTTTTCTTTCTTATCATTGTTTATAAGAGAGCAGTGAAAAACAGAAAAACACCTTCAGAATAGTATTACAAACATGGTTTACAAAAAGATTGTGCCAAATGAGACATTTCCCCACTACATAACGATAAAGCTTTCTGAATATAACATACTCCTGAATTATGATCTTCCCTAACTGCTCAAAACTTAAAAGTTTTCACTCTGAGCCACCCAAATGCATTAAGAAGCAGGAAAAGGACCAGAGAGAAATTAATATCAAATACTGCTCCCATATTTTCATTCCATGCAAGAGTTATAAGTTATGCATAAAATATCAGGATTATTTAAAAAAAACCCCAAACATTAAGACAGTAAAGAACATAGCTATAGTATTTAAAATATTCATTTACTAAACATCAGATATTAAATAATATTTATATTACATCACACATACCTGCAGTGTACCCAAAGTTACACTGAAAAAAAGACCGCTAGAAAAGCATGTCTCACCATTCATTATCTTCACTTATTTCATATTCAGATTTCCCTCCCAAGAATGTAATTTGCATGTCTTACCACTGACAACTCTCTCTCATACAGGAACCTACTGTTCAGACTTGAATTTTACAAAAATCTATTAGAGAACATATGATGTCTCTAACTCAATTAAATAACCTGGATGTTCTGTGAAGTGGGAAGTCAGAAGCTCCAGGAAAAACAACTTCCTCCTTCACCTAGTATCCTACCATCCCCACTGCAGCAAGAGACACAGCCTCCAGAGGCACCTCGCAGCTACTAGAACAAAAGCATGACCATTAAAAGGCTTCCACGTTCATTCAACCAGATTAGATAGTTGTTCTTCCTATCCATTCTCTTCCACAAAGCATCCTCCTGAAGTGAAAATCTGAAGCACTAGGATGACTCAACTAAGACCTACTGAGCTCTTTAATGCACACAATGCTTCATAGTGCCTTGCAATCTCTCTCTGCACTTCAGCCTCACTTTCCTTACAAGAGCAGAGAAATATCGTCTTACTTACAGAGAGGAAACTGAGGTGTGAGTTGAGTTGCTTGAGGACTCACAGAAGATAAATGACAGGGCCAAGAGGATCACCAGTCTCATGATTACCACCCCCAGCTTTGCCCACCAGGCCATCACTCCTACCACGCAGACTACATCCTAAAGCCTTCCATACAATGGCAGATCAAGAGCTACAGTCTCGAAACAAACTATTTAAATACCATTTGTTTAAAAAAAAAGTCCTATTTCAGCTGTAGAAAGTGGGTACGGGAACCCCTGGGCCATTCCACCAAATGACTGTTCAGCAGATGAGGTAAACAGGCACAGTTATTGGTTTAGTTTGCAATAGTCTACTCTTTTCTGCTGAATTACTGCTATTATTTGCCAGATACATCTAGAACAAATCCTCTTTCCACTGGGTAAATAAGCTTGACAATACCTCTTGCAGAAGTGTGACCATCATATTTCTTTTCACAGAAACAATTCTGACCCTTAACAGAACAAAATCTATTTCTTTGCGCTTTCCTCCAATTTATTTTTAATAAAATCAGAAGGGCAAGAGAAAAACCTCAGGAATTAAAATAGGAACAAAATACTTTCCAGGGATTGCTTGCACCGAAGGTCCTCCCTCAAATCACCTGGATGAAGCACAGCAGCATGAAGTGAACTTCTCTGCCCTTCTGTGGAGCACACACAGGACTGAAGCGGCTCCTCCTTGGCGGCACGCGTGGCCCCGCTGCTCCGGGTGAGATAAGACTCAGCAATTCCTCTCCCCCGCAGGCCAAACACACAAGCCCTAAAGGCCACCTTTCTTCAAGTTCCCTTCCAAGGCTCAACTCCCTCCTCTTCCCTCTCTTCACCTGCCTCATCAAGACCTGGTGGCCCACCAAAAAGGGCAAGCTGTACCTCAGCTCTGTGTGCTGAAGCTGCAGCCTGTCCTCTCTCCTGCTTCCAAGCTAAAAGGGATGCTGGCGACCTCCCTCTCTCCTCCCTGTCCGCAACCTGCTCTGTGTGATGCCCTGACAGTCCCCGTCCATCAGCAGGGTCTACCGAAGGAGAACACAAGAAAAACACCACACCGCATAAAAGCAACGTTACTATTCCACCCCCTGACCCTCCCCAGCTTTTCCTTCATACGGGTTGGGGAGTTTCAGGGCGCTCCCCCCGCCTCTCCCAGCCGGGGTGGGGGCAGCAGCTCCGGCCACAGATAGAGGCTCCACACAGGAAAGGAGCGCCCAGGGGATGTTTTTCCAGAGGCCAAACGGGCGAGGCAGGGAGAGAAAGATGCAACAGCAGCGAATCCCAGCCGCCTTCCCCAGCAAACAGATCCCGGGCCCAGGGCCTACCCCGCCGCCTCAGGCCCGCGGAGGCCCGGCGGCCTCTCAGCCCCACACCCCCCACCACCGCCGCCTCAGGGCCCCGCCGCCGCCGCCTTACCGCCGCCGGGAGAAGGAGCCACGGTCACCGGCTGTAACGGGGCTCTCGGCCCCGGCTGGCTGGTGCTGCCGGCCGGCGGTGCGAGGCTGGGCCGGAGGCGCAGCCCCAGCGCAGGGCGGGCCTCAGCGGCTGCCGGCGGCCCGGCCCGCCCCGGGCCCCACCGCCTCCCCGCGCCTGGGCGGGGCGAGGAGCCTCCCCGCCTTCCCCGGCGCTCAGGCCTTGGGGTTCTCTCGGTCACAAAGCGGGCCTAGAGGGGCGGTGGAAAGGCACCGCTCTCCTCCCTGCCGAGGAGGATAATCCTGAAAATTATGTGTCACCGCTGCTTTTTTTTTTTGGGAGGGGGGAGGTTGCCTCCATGTAGGTGCGGGGCAGCTCCCCACAGCACACACAGGAGCTGCCACCCCAGCTCTGCAACAGATAAATAGGTGTCTGCCCCTACCCTAACTCTGCTCATTCTGATTAAATCCACCCAGCAACCTGGGAAAGAAGCCATGGTTCCCCACTGGGATGTATTCACTCACTGATACATCACTCACTTCAATCCTCTGTACTGTCAGATGAGCTGTATCACACTCCTACCGGGGAAAGGCCACCCTGGAACTGCCTTTGTACTCATGGGTGAAGGCTCCCAACACCCCTCCTACCCCGTTCTCCTCTGCAGACCCTTTCTGGGGAGCCTGCAAGCAAGCCTGGCAGGAAGGCAAGCGGTGACTCACAGGGCGCAGTGCTATCTGTAATTCAGAACGCCTTCTCCAGGCGGCCATGCCCACCCGCAGCAGCTCATGCTCCAGACAGAAATCTCCTCCTCTTCCCGGTGAGGTCAGCCCAGAGAATCAGGAGGCAGAAAGGGAATACACTTCTGCTGATGTAACAGCACAACTAACTTAAAAATATGATCAGAAATTCTAATAATAAGAAACTGCCTTGCTACACTCACATTTTAAAGCGTGAGTTAAGCCACTTTTTTCCAAGCAAGTGCATTTCTAACCAAAAGCTTTCAGTTAAAACTAAGAACTACAAAAAATAACTACTAAAAAGGGTTACACTTTCCCCACAGTATTAGTTTTCAAGAACTCATTATCTTTTAAAGTCCTTTCTAACCGACTAGAATAAGCCTCTTATACATTTGTCTTCTATCCCCCCTCAGCACACAGTGACACATTGTCCTGTCCCACACCAAGTCAGCATCTCGCTTTCCAAAACAGAGCTCTGGAGAAGCAATAACCAGTGGCAACAGACACCACTAATGACTGAAGAGTCACTTACTGATACATTACAGAGTAGAATCTCAAATAGGATTGTGGTTTTGTTTCTAACAGTTACTACTACTTTGCTTTCCAGATTAAATTACCTTTGATCCCAATTAAACTAGCTTTTCCCCCCCTAAATAAGAGAACAGCTCTATCAACACTGGGTATGGAACAAAATTTGTGAGTTCTTGCAACAGTAACTCTAATGAAGTTTTGCTGGCATCATCCCAAAGATGACGACTCCCACAGGAGTCAAAAATTAGATCTCTAATCCTGCTATCTATTTTCCTGCTTGCAATTGCCTGTGTTGCACAGCTTGGGTTTCCATTGTAGACCAGACACAGATAAAATATACAGCCATGAGAAAATCCAAAGGCCTTTCATTTGCTCCAGCTCTTTTCTAATTACAGCTGGTGACATCAACAAGACTTACAGACAGAGCAGAACACTGCAGAGATGAAGACAACTAGCCACAAACAGTACGTTCCATAGCAGCCAAAGCCAGACTGACTTAAAAATCCAGAGTATCTTCACCATCCCAGGAGACTCAACAGGAGTTCTTGATATACAGTAGGATTCACCTGGGAAAAAGTCATCTTTCCTGGAAATTCCTCAATATTTTAGCTTAAAACAGCATAGTAATTCGTCATCTACATACACAATATAGTTAGCTGCCAAGCTTGAAGAGAAGCTGTGGAATATTAAACCAAAAATGCTGTTCAGCTCTGTCCATTACACAGCAAGTCATAGATCAATGCTATGTGATGGAGTCACATAGAAAGGACAATTAGAAAAAATCCCCCACTTAGCATAAAATTCAGCACTGGGGCAAAAGGAGGCAGAGAGATCTCGTTCTTGGAAAGATATTTCTCATTTCAGTAATTCTGATACTTAAATAGGAGTCAACAGACTTGGCTTTAGGTGAGGGAAAGAAAGGATTATTTTGGCCCTACAGCAATTAAGAATGAGCAAAGCTAAACTGTAAGTAAATGATAACCTTGGGTACCATTTGCTTTAGTAATAACTATAAATTCCATCCATTTCCACAAAATAATTTTATTAGATACATGAATACAAAAGATTTACAAATATATTAGTGTTTTCAACATTGGGAGTATAGAAAGTAACCTATATTTAAAATCACACACACATATTAGTAACTCTGTCTCCAAAATACTGCATAAAAATACTTGGGTTACTACTATGAAACTGACCTAGCAGTCTCTTTCTCTCTTTGTCAGAGAGCTTTGAATCTTCATCTATAGCTTTCAACAGAGATAACAGCTCATCTTTCGTGGTCTTCTCTGTATTGGAACGATACTCTCTTTCATCGAGTTTTTGGCAAAAGGTATAGCCTAGAAGGAAACACAAGGCATTCAGATAATTAACACCACAGTCAGCCACCCTCAAGGTTCAACAGACCCGTTCTCCTTTAGAGTCAAATTAGCCATTGTTCCAGCAAAAGTCTTTTTGCATCATCTCAGTCCCTTCTATTTCTTATCTGGGTGCATGATAAGAATAAAAAGTTCAGTTTAAACTGTTACCTGTTATCTTACTAGGATCTTGGCCCTTCTGCAAAGCCACCAGTTTATTGCTGACCATTTTATGCAGCGTCCCTGGGATCTTGAACAGAAAGAGAAGGCAGTCAAACAGCAGCTCAGAAGGCAGCAATTCTGCATAAGCATACAAGATAACAAAAACCTGGTCATTTTCTAGCACTTACCTTTAAAACATCTTTTTGGTGATCCACAAGGAACAAGATCAGGAGGTCAGTTTTCCCTCTTGATAAGGTTTTATTGTTGATAATAGCTTTAGAGAACGTTCTTTTCACAACCATCCTGTTGTCACTCTAAAGAATAATGTGAAATAATCACCAGAAGAGGAGAATTAGTCTCCTCCTTTAAGAAGGGCTTCGCCTTTGTTCTTCTAGAGTCATAGCTTTTCCTGTAGTCACATATTTAAGACACAAATGCGCTTTCTGACCAGTATCTAAGACCTCTAGATTTAAGGAAGTGTAAAGCAATGTATAACAGTTAAGTACACACATTTACCTCCTTCTGCAGTTTGAGCTCAGAATTATGTGCTGCAACAGCCATGAAGTACAGTAGTCTCCTGAACTCCTCCCTGGCTTGGCTGTCTAGAAGTTTCAAATAGAGTTGAACAGCTTCTAAAGATTGCTCCATCTTCCCATTCACTGGAGAAAGATAAAAGGTATCTATTGCCATATTTATTTAAATAAACGTTACAACAAAACACCTAAATAAGCCACCGAAGAGACATTCACCTCTCTAAACAGAGCTGGTCCAAGCAATTCATTCTCACAAAAATTTCTCACAGGCTGATGACAGCTGTTTGCACAGTCTGAGAACAGCCCAAACACAGGCTTTAGCCTTGTATTTAAGAAAATTGATTTTCAATTAAGTTCCATTCAAGATGGCTGAACTGTAATTGAACATGAAATACTGAAACACGGAAATGGTTCTGTTAACAAAATGAATAGCCTCTTGTAGAAATAGAGATCTCCCAAGAAATGAGGAATAAGTCCTAGATAAATGGGTTAGCTTAATGAATTAACTGCAAACCATTTTTTAGGGCTTTGCTAAGTTTTAATTTAATTAGTCTTACTATGCAGAATACCCTTTTCAGATGTGTGAATTGTTATACTAGTAGCCCCCCCTTTATCAAACAGGGAGAAGGAATGGAATATAAATGCAAAATATTCCAATGTGGCACAAGAATAATCATCAAGACAGAAGGATGAAAAATAAGGAGAACAGAGATGAGATGTTAATTGAGGACTAAAACATCAAAAGTTTCCTAAAATGCTGTCAAAACATAAAAATTAGGAAATGCACTTTTCTGTGGACAAGAGGGGAGAGTTGTGAATGGGATACAAAGCATCCACACAGCTTTAACTTTAGATCTTATTTCATTTTAGGCCTTATTTATATTTAATTCCCCATAGATATTTAATTTACATGGATACCAACTACTCCCAAATTACAGAACTCCAGTTTCATAGTCATTTGACACAGACCTGAAACTACAGAATGTCCAGTACTGCGTGTACTCAGGACAAAAACTTCAAAGCACACTCTTCCTGACGAGAAAGTAAAAACAAAAAAAGCAACAAACTAACTTGCAGAAGTCAACCTTTAAGCTTGGCTGCGGTAGCAAATACTCAGTTTCTCAGTATGTATCTCATAAAAGCTTAGGAACATAGGATTATTTTCCTTACCTAACAGTTCTGCAATTCCTGAATGAATTTCAGGTGCATGGCTTAACAGCGGCTCCTTTTTTTGGCCATAGTATCTTCCAATATTTTCAAACAGCAGTAGTTTCCATGTGTCTGCTTTATCTGGTTGATCAGGCAAGTTCCTGCTAATATCTACCACCATATGATCTGGAAGGTATTCCAAGCAATCTATTGCTGCTGAGAGCCATTCGTCTGTTCTAGAAGAGAGCAGTTTAACTTTGTAGCATTACTTACTGATGATTTTCAGAGTTGGTTGCATTGTTTTTCACAGAAAATAAGTAGACTGGTCTCTCACTGCATGTGTAGGCCCTTAAATATATTTGAAATTGGTGCACACACACAAAAAAGACACCTTTCCTGATACTCAGGTAGGTCATAAGCCATATAGCTCTTTGTTATGTATTTAATCAAGATGGAGAATTAGTAACCCACGCAGGTAAATAGTCACAAGCAGTTACACCTAAAGTTAGTGATGTCCTCTACTGTTAGACAAGGACATACAATTATCGCTAGATAAACAGAAACATGAACCTTGATCTCATTCAGATTGGTTTTTTGACTATGTTTTGAACTGTATTTATATACAGTTTCAGGCTCAGCATTCTTGGCTTTTTTAATATAGGAGGACAAACTAAACTATTCCCCTCCTGGTAATTTTTTAAGGAAGACATTTCAAGATAATAGCAAAAGGCTCTTTTCTTCCCTCAATGTGACAAAGTTTTCCCCTCTGAATACTATCAAATACCATCATTGCATTCAAAAACTTCCAGCTTTCAGCAGAAATTGTCTCACCTACTTCTGGTTTACAGTTAAGCAATTAATGCAGTAAAGTCTAACAGAGAAAAAACGTGTACTTGTATCCTTTCTGCAGTACTGAAAGCAGAAAGGTTTCCAGTGAGCAATGACTACTTACTGTGAGTCACTGAAAGCCTTGAGGATCTCTCTGTCTAGGTAGTTACTTGTGATGACGTATCCAGCTCCCTTCCGTGGCTGTGGAAGCTGAGGTCTGAGCTCTTGGTGCTCAAGCAAAGACTCAAGGAGCGGAAGGTCTACAAGCTGCAGGAGTCGAGCAATTGTTTGTTCTCTCCATACTTCATTAATAACTAGGAAGGGTGGAACACACAAAGCACACAGAGATTCAGCATGTGCAAAAGGACAGATTATGAATAAAAACTTCGCTGTTTTCCCATCAACCCTAATCTAACAGATTAATTTTACCAAAATAAAGATATACGGCAGCAGAGAGTGTGGCCCTTATCAGCTTTAAGTGCATGCTAGGAAAGAATTAGCCATTGTTTAGTTAACTACAGGTGTAGGAGAACTGCTTTTTGGATAAATCTGAAGTGCCTTACATTTTTATGCTCTAATTTGCAAGCCATCTTTGCTCTAGATAAGGGATTAAAAAAAGTGTAACAGTGACACTATCCTTATCAAAACTTCCACAGTTATGATCTGGCTCAAGTTTTGAGAGTTTCTGGGATGCATTAGCGTTTTTAACCAAATGCAAAAACACATTAGTTCATAGTTTAGTCTGAGAGAGAAGACATGAATTGTCAATACCAGCTTCATGCAATACTGAAGGAGCATCAGACGCCGCAAACACACAGTTCAAAAGCTAGGGAAGAGTTTTAGTGAACAGCAGAATATTAGCCACGATTAAGTCAAGCACAGATGTAGTGCAGGTAGTTGAGTATTACAAAGCATGTTCCAAACACAAACCAAGCTCTATACAATTGTGTATTCTTCTCCACAAAATTCAACACTGATTTATTTCAGCTAGAGATAACAGGTTCTAGTCTGATGAAATAGAAAGGTAAAAGGCAAACCTGCAGCAAGTGTAATTTGCTTTTGTTAATCATGGTGCTCAACACAAAATACTAGGAGTATCAGTTTGACTCCCTCTCCAATCTGACAGGCTTAAGCCTTTCCAGTCCTGCAGTTCCTACCTTCCTTCTCCCACAAGTAAATGACTGAGGCATCATTTGGCTTACCTTGACGGGACAAACTATCCGAGATATTTACTTGAGGGGTGTTCGCAGGCTTTAAACTCAGGTTTTCCCAGAGATCCTCCAAATTTTCTGGTTTGACAGGAGTAGGGTGAAACAACATGCTCTTCTCATGCCTGAGATTAAAAAACAGTTTATATATATATATATATTTATATTCATACATACAGATGACCAAATATATCATAGAACATACAGATATGGATAACTGCCTGAGATTAAAAAGTTTTCTCTATGTAAATATTTACATAATCTTCTCCCCACCACCCCCCCCAACTCCACCACCCTACCCCACACCCCCAACACTTTCTCTGTCCAAGTCACACAGGAGAACATACGACATATTAAAGAATTATTTACGTGCAACTGTTGCACGCAAGTGCATAATTCCTCTCTTGGAACTTGTCACAGCCAACATAGGTTAGACTCCTCAATCACCACAAAAAAAAATATAAATCTAAGAATAGGAAATGGTTAAAGAGAAGAAATTACTTAAGAAAAAAAACCATAAACCCTCAAAACCTCTAGAATTTTAAAATATTATTCCCTATGGTGAAGTGAGGACAAAAATTAAGAGCTGTTCTTGAAAAACCTAGAAGGTGGCTGCTCTGTAGTAACACCACTCCTAAAGTTATGAGGGTTTTTCATGCCATCAACTAGTGGGAGGCTTCAGAAGCCTGTCACCCATTTCTGTGCGTTGGCTTGTTCTTCTCATAACTGCTTTCATATGCTATTGAGTAGCTACAAAATTACTACTTCAAGCATATTTGTTTAATTTCAGTTTCTATAGCTTCTTTGTTTTAGGGCACTGTCAAATCTTTTCTATGTCCACTATCTTTGCTATGTATGTGACAAGGTGTATGTATCAACAGATCTGTTCCTTTCACTACATGAAGAAGTGCAATTCAATGGATCTGTGCCCTGCCCAGAAGAAAAACACCTTCACTCTACGCTAATAGAATGTTTCATGACTGTTTGTCCAATATCATCTAAGTCTTGCTTTAACAGTCCTTGTGATGAATATATTTTTAAATATCACATTTGATTAAAGTATTCTTTTTTTACTTCTCAGAAATCCTCCCCTTTCCATATAAAGGCTTGGTAGTGTTTGCTTTAGCACAGAGCAAGACCTAGTCGAAGGAAAGAGGGGGGAGAAGGAGGATGAAGGCACTATTCATTTTAATCTCTGCTTCTAGAATTTTCTGATCAGTTAGGTTGATGCACTCGAGTTCACATTCACCACTCATGAACAAATCAATCCTATAAGGTATTTTCTTTTTAGGTCAATACTATTTGCAATTTTCAAAAGCACAATAGCTACATGAATGCAGTTTCTTGTAAGATTATGTTCAGAGACTAACACTTGACAAAAATTGTTTAAGGAAAGTTACTTGGCAAAGCATCATCTACATAAAGAATGTATTCTGTCTTGTGATGGTTTAGTTAGTACCAGGGGTTTCTTTGCCCGCTCCTAAAGAGACAGGGAAATAAAACCTCACTGTCACACTTCCCTCTGGTTCTACCATGGCAAGCCATAGGATAACAGCCTGTTACCTAGCTTACCAAGTTACACACACATGAAGAAACAGCTGAAAACTTTTCAAAAAGCTAAATTTGAATTGCAGTGAAGCTAAGATGACGGAAGAAGAGAACTATTTTTTGCCTGTTTTTTCCTTATGCCAGAGCTAGGTGTGCAATGACTAAAGATTATTACCTTGCCTTAGCCTGACACACCTGAATTCCAGTTGGTTATACTGGTTTACAGTCCCAATAGATCAGTATCTGTAATGCACTTAATTTTTACCCTCCTCCCCTAAGGTGATGTGATAACAGACACTGAAAACAAGTAACTCTGCAGGCTGAATGATTTACTCACTTCAAATTGCTGTTTCCTACCTATCTTCCACCCACAAACATCTGTATCTACTTTTCCTCCCACCCAGGTCCTGTAATTGTACAACAGTTCCGCCTTCTCTCACCCAGAATATTTTCCTATTGTAAAAAAACCTCTTATCTCTGGGTTCCATTATGTACTAACCTTTGCGGTGTACACTGCTGGTAATCTTTATCAAGTTCTGTTTGGTTTGAGACATTTGTGAATCTGTAGAGGCTACTGCTACTGTCTTCAAACACAGACCGTTTGTCTTTTCCAAAGACCCTAGTTGAAACAGCCTCAAATACTTTGTAATCCATCAGGGCTTGGCACACGCGCACTATTTTAACACGGGAGATATCAACATCCCCAAAATACTTGTTCTGTAGGAGATGGGCAAAGACAACATCCACCGCGTCCGAACCGATGAAACAGTCGTGGTAGCACTTCAGGTTCTGGCGACGCTTTTTCACTTCCACTTGAGTTTGAAGTGCATTGATAATGCTGCTCCAGACATACGTTGCTCCAAAGGGTTTCTGTGCCAAGCTAAAGCCTAAGGACAGAGAAAGCATAAAGATTGAATTTCTGCTGCAATTAGAAAAGAACTGCCCCCTTTCTGGTTACTACCTGCCATGAATGTTGTAAGGATTTAAAAATCTTTGAGACTTTCAGTTTGGCTTGAGTCACTCATGTATTAACATTTTGTGACTTTCTCAGCAAGTCTGCCTGTAATGTATGGAAGTCCCTCACTCATTGTTGCTCTAATTAGCCAGAAGCTTTGCTACCAGGAGTTTCTAATTTTTCAGCCTGTCACTTTGTGGCACTACCCTTCTGCATGCTCCTCCATCACCTATCATTACACTTGCAGAACCTACTCCTAAGCATAATGTTCCCACAGCCACAAGCTAGCTGTATGTACCTCCTAACTTCCCAGTTCCTCTACTGACACTGACAAAACCACAACTGGGCAGAGAAGAGGGAAACAGAGAAGAAGAGACACATCACAACCTTGTTTCCTACAGGACTGTCCATACACACAAACTACCTATTATCAGTGCTTAGTATATCACTAAAAAGATCAAGAATTCTCTTGAGACACCACTCACTCGACGCTTATCCCACACAACAGCCTCCTACCAGCACAGCTCCAACCCAGACTTAAGGTCTGTGTACCCAGTGCTACTTCCCTGAGCCAACCAGCCTTCCCTCCCCCAATAAAACCACTGAACTATTACTCATTTACCAATCTGATTAAGAATAGCATGCTAACAACTAGCAGTTTGACCAGAGGCTAGACTCAGCCTCCACAAGGACTTACAGGATATACTTATGAAGTTTGCAGGTGGCACCCAACTGGGAAGAGCTGCAGCCACCAGAGAGACTAGAATTAGAATATGTCCTTCTCAGTAAATCAGATGAATAATTTATTAAGACAGAAAGCAGAGGAAGAGGAGAGAAATCAAAAGCTGAAGGACAAAATAAGGAATGAGGAGTTGGCAGCAATCCTACAGAAAGCCATCTGGGGTTATGACAGACCTCAAACCAAATGAATTAACAGTGTGATGCAGTGTTTAAAAAAAAGCAACATGCAACTCATTCTGGAACATATTACCATGAACATTTTCCACAGAGATGCAGGAGGTATTTTTTTTCTGTTCAGTCTAAAGTGGCATTAGAGAATTGTATTCCAATTTTAGGCACCAGAATTTCCAGTTGATCTCCATCTATCAGAGATCCCAGAAATTAGCAAATTAGCAGGGGGAGGGAGAGCAGGGGGAAGTTAGGGGAGGCAGTAAAGACAGGGTGGAGGGGGGGGAGTAGAAGCAGCAGAGAACTCGACAGCATTTGAACACACCAACACTATTATAAAGGACAGCAACAGATATCTTCAGAGCCATTATCAAATAGGCACCTGCTTTCTGAAAAGATTTATATCGGGGGGGGGGTGGAAGCTTTTTAATACAAGGCATTGAAGCAGACTAGGTAGAAACCTTCCAGAACCTCCAGTTTCCAAAGCTTTAAAAGTACCAGACAGACAAAGCACACACTTGCTGATACTTTAACCCGATGACACCTTCAGATAGGCAGAAAAACCAGAACTGAATACAGAATTTCCTTCCAGCCCTACGTCTTACTGGCTGACTAGTCTGTTTGGAAGGAAAAAAAAACAAACCCCAAACCCAACACCACCAAACATACACCAACGCTGTTTTTCTGTTGCCAAAATAAGTATCAACATGTACCACCTGCAAAAATTCTACTATTAACTACTGCCTTATCATAGAATCATCTAGGTTGGAAGGGACCTTCGAGACCACCTAGTCCAACCATCAAATCCATTATCACCTCTTCCTTCCACACACCCCCCAAAATCTTTTGAGGGAAGCAGTGTTCAGTGCGGCATTAAAGTGCTCGAGGCGGGGAAAACCAAAAAAAAAAGAGCAGAAACCGTTCTCAGGAAGCCACCTTTAGCCCTTCGCGTTGCATCAACTACCCACCTGCTTTTTTAACCTGCTTTTAGGACAGAAACAGCTGCTCGAGTCTCCCCGTCACTCCCCGCAGCCCCGTGGGCACCGCACAGACCCTGCCTTCTCTCCGCCGCCCAGGGCCGGGCTCGGTGCGGGACAGGCGCGAAGCCCGGAGGGGGGAACTCCCGGGAGGAAACACCCCCCCTCTCCACTGGCGGAGAGCAGCCAACTTTTGAACCTCTGCGGAACCGGGAAAGGCGCCGGCACAGAGCTCCCGGCGGGCAGGGGACGGGCGCGGAGCGGGACAAGCCCGTCTCACCTCAGCTCGCCTCGCCTCGCCTCAGCCAAAAAAAAAAGAGCAGAAACCGTTCTCAGGAAGCCACCTTTAGCCCTTCGCGTTGCATCAACTACCCACCTGCTTTTTTAACCTGCTTTTAGGACAGAAACAGCTGCTCGAGTCTCCCCGTCACTCCCCGCAGCCCCGTGGGCACCGCACAGACCCTGCCTTCTCTCCGCCGCCCAGGGCCGGGCTCGGTGCGGGACAGGCGCGAAGCCCGGAGGGGGGAACTCCCGGGAGGAAACACCCCCCCTCTCCACTGGCGGAGAGCAGCCAACTTTTGAACCTCTGCGGAACCGGGAAAGGCGCCGGCACAGAGCTCCCGGCGGGCAGGGGACGGGCGCGGAGCGGGACAAGCCCGTCTCACCTCAGCTCGCCTCGCCTCGCCTCAGCTCAGCTCAGCTCAGCTCGCCTCACCGGCCGCCCCCACCCAGCGCGGGCTGAGGGCATCCCGCAGCCTGTTCCCTG